GGGGAGGGGGGGGGGAGCGGTCAGAGGACCCACGCTCTGCCCGTGTCATTGCGCTCGTTAGCGACAGCGCGTGAAGGCGAGTTAGGAGGCGCCTTGGTGGCACTGCCCTGGGCCTGCCGGGCTCGACGGGCGGAGGCGCGAGTAGTTGGCCACCAGGAAGACCACTAGTACTTCTCCCCAGGCGGGGCTGATTCGCCCGCCCGCGCTCACTTCCGCAGGAACACACTGTGTACCGAGTGCACGCGACGGGTCGCCTACTCGCTCGGGCCGTAAAGTACGCCCGCTTTAAGCTAATGAAGTTGTCTCAGATTCAGTTCGGGAAGTTCACGGGAGCTCGGCGCCTGCGAGACTCGGGGTAGGCCACCCCGCAGTGCTCGCATGCACTGCAGGCAAGATGTTGCCTACCCACCAGGCGCTATGAGAGCACGCCATTGGCCGATCTTGGTAGTAACGAAGACTGACGGACGTACTTATCTGAATGATCACGCTAAAATAGGTCGCTTATAGTCACATGCGTTAGGCTGACCCGTCCGCACAACGCGATCACACACACACACGCACACAAAGTTTACAGACTCGCGGACAGAAAGGGCGGATAGAGATCAGCGCCTGCCCACTGGTGGGCGCCAGAGCACGCGGCCCTTGAGGCGGCAGAAGCAGAAGGTGCACGTATGTAGGGCGCTGCAGGGCTGGGCTCAGGGCCGGCCCGGGTGTAGCGGGGGCGGGTGCCACGATATATTTGTTTTCTGACAACCTGACAGCCCGGCCTGACGTACAAGCGCCAGGCGCCGCCAGCTGTGCGAGTCGGAGCAGTCGTGCTGCGCGCCGCGGAGGTGTGCTGGTTGGCGAGCCTGCGCGTCGTGCACATTTGGGATTTAAATAGTGTTATCAGAAAAGGGTGAGGAGGGGGGGGGGTCTAAGCAAGCAGCCCAGCCTGCTGTGTCACAAAAACAAGGCCCCAGAGCACGATCGTGATGCAGTTCAGATAGATCCGCGTCCGGGTGACCGTATCGAGGCTTTTCGTTGGGTGAGGTGGGGTGGGTGGTGGGGGATCCTTTGGGTCGACTGATTTTCATGTTGTTGTTCCGGTATGGGCGGCAACCGAGCGACGACAAAAGGGTTGCGGGTCACACACAATCACACACACACACACTCACACAGATGGGCATGCGTGCGTGCGCCGGGCCGGGGCGTGGCGCGGCGGAAGCGAACGTGAATGCAGCATGCGCGTGTATTGGGTCCCCGGGCACGGCGACACACGTATCGTTACGATGCCCGAGCGGACCCTATGTATTCCTCCATTTATTCGCCACGCTTAGTCTCAAACCGCCGCGGCCGCGCCTCGTTCACCACGCGATGCAAGTGTCGTGGTGATGAGCTGCGCGCCCTGCTGCCTGCGGTAGTGCCCCGGTCCTCACGCGGCAGTGATGTCATCGCGAGCATTTGGGGGGCCGTCCAAGGCTCTGCACGTCCGCGAGGAGCGTTACCGTGCCGTGTCGTGTCGGGCCGGGCCGCATGCCATACCATACCGCCGCCGCGCCCAAACGTGTGTTGTAGCGACATGAGAAGGCGGCTCCAAATTGCTCCCCTAATGCCAGGTTGGGCTTTATGATGTCTCTTCCCTCGCGGCCGCCGTGCGGCTCGTCTCTTCTGGTGTACGGCGGCGGATGGGTGGCGTGGCGTGGCGTGGATCGTCTGCCCGCCGCAGCACAAGGCATTCCGCAGGCCAATTTTGTTATCAACGCGTGCCGGCGTCGCCGTCCCGTCCACCGCCCCGTCAAACCCCGCGCCCGCCCGCGCAAAAGGCGACGCCCTCTCCCTCGCCCCGCCATGCCCCGCCGAGTGCGAGCTCCTCTCTTCAGGAGCGTCGCGACGGCGGTGGCGCTGCTGTGTCCCTTCAGAATGCTGCTGGTGCTGCCGATGCTGCTTTTTGTGCCCCTCTCCTGGCCGCGACGTTGACATCGCTCGCCCCGAGACACGTTCCAGTCCAGACGCTCGCTCCTCCCTCCCCCCCGCCGCACCGCCGATTGTTTGTCGCTTGTCGCCGTGAGCCCCAAGAGGCCGGTGAGGCCGGTACCCCCCTCTCCCCTCCCCTCTCCCCTCGTCCACTCGACTCGCCCCAACGGCGGGGCGATCGGGTCGGTCACAACAGCAGAAAACTCTCCGCGCGACCAGCGCAGCGGATAAACCGGCCGCGCCAGCCAGAACCAGTTTGTGTGTGTGTCTGCTTGCGTGTGTGTGTGCGTGTGTGCGAGCACGCGCAACCCCTCGCGGCAGCCAGAATAATACCCGCCCAAATAATCCAAACCCAAAATCTGTCGATGTTTAGAAAACTCTCGGTGCCGCGAGCGGCTTTTGTTCGGTAATCACTAAGCAGGTCCTGTGGGAGTTGGATGAAGGAGGAAGGGTAGTGTGACCGTCGAGAAAAGAGGTGGGGGCGGGCGGCGTTTAGGCTTCGGTTGTAAAGGATTTGCCGTGGCTGGCCGGCGTTTGCCGGGGCGCCCGAGGTCAAGGGGGGCGGCGTTAGAGGAGGAGGGTCAACCTCCTGGCTCTGGGCGGGGCTGGGCCGTCTAGGTGCCTCGAGCTTATGGGCACCGCGCTCCGGGCCGCCCATGGAGCCCATGGCAGCAGGCGGGCGGGCAGGGCCTATGCGTACCGTGGGCGTGGAGGTGCGAGGCCGGGGAGAGGGGCGGGGCGGGCAGCGGCGGGTCGCAGGTCGGCCTCAGCATCAGCGGCAGCGGCAGCATAGGCAGCAGCAGCAGAAGAGGCAGCGGCAGCGACAGCCAGCGTTCCAGCCACACTGACGTCAGGCGCCATAACTGAACCCCCCTGCTCGCGGGCCTGCTGTGCCAAGAGCAGCCAACAAGGAGAGACTCGCTCGCGACCGCTACGCCACGCCACGCCACGCCTCGCCACGGGCCCAGCCCAGCCCAGCCCAGCCCAGCGGTGAGCTGGGTGCGCTGCCGTGGTCATCACGAGCATGATTACCACACGAGACGTGCTCGCAGCCAGCCTGGCGTTCGTGGCCACCGCACAGCAGCGTGTAGTAAAAGGTGCTTGTTCTTCCTGTGCTTTGGGATCGAGTTATACTGGCCGAACAGAGTAGCTTCGTCCTGGGCGGCCGCGTTCGAAACACTCTATACTACTCCCTTTACAAACACACGGACGGGAACACGGGGCTACGGGTCTTATACACTTTTCAGTTCGGCTGCAAAACGAAAACGGCTAGTGTGTACAGGTACAGCCATCTGCCTCGGGTGGCGCCTTTTTCTGTGTCTGGTCAGAACGCCGACGCTCTCGGCCTTGGCGAGGGTCGGGCTGCTGCTGAAGGCCCGGGCGCCGTGTGCCATTCTGTCGTTTAGTCTCTCACGCCTTTTTCAGCCCGTGTCCCTTCGCTCAGTCCGCGCCGAGGAGGAGGTGCCACCGCCGCAGTGGTGCGCGCGTCGGCATTCTGTTGTCATCACCCGTGCTTTTGTATACACGCGCGGGCGGCGGCGCGGGTGGACTTTGTTCGAAAAACTTTCCCCCGTCTCTCTCACTCACTCGCTCTTGAGGAAGGTCCCCACGCATCTGTCAAAAAGTCCTGCTGCGCCGCGGGAATAAACATCTCCGAGCAAGAGTCTCCTCCCTGTGCAAAGCAGCGGCGCTTCTTCTTACCTTCCTTCCGCGTCTCCCAAGGGCACTTCACTCAAAAAAAAAATATATA